TCTATTTGTCCAAAAGGATTGTAGAACTAAAAAAAGAAAAAAATAAAATATGTGAGAATAATTGTGGACTTACCACATAAGCACAAAAATTTCTCTTTTTAGATTGAAAATATTTATTAAAAACAAACCAATTTTAATAAAGTTACAAAAAGTGATAACTGTGTTAAATAAGACACAATTAATCTTCTATTTTTAAAATTAGAAGTTTCATTAATAAAATAGTATCATTTGGAAATATAATAAATAAAACTATAATAAAATAGTATCATTTGGAAATATAATAAATAAAATGATAATAAAATAGGATCATAAGATTATTTGTGCTTTCGACAAAAAAAAAGAAGATTATTGGTGCATGATTCTCACCTAGCATACTAACTTTCTAATGAACATATATAATTTAAAAACACAATAAATAAAACTATTTATAAAATTTTACAAGATTTAGAAACTAGTTCTAAAATTAAACATTTCATTAATAAAGTAGGATTCTTTAGAAATATAATAAATAAAATTATAATAAAGTAGGATCATTTGGAATCATAATAAATAAAACTATTTATAAAAGTAAACGTGTCATTAATAATATTAAATAACATAAGATTTACCAGTGCATGATTCTTACCTAGTATATATATCTATATATGCATACAAAGTTTTTAGTGAACAAAGATATAATTATTTATACAAGAAAAATGAATATTAAAAAATGTGTTGTATTGATGGTGGTGGTGTTGGTAGTTATGGTGGATATGGTAGAAGAAGTAGAAGGGCGTTCAACCCCATATGGTAGATGCATGGACATTTGCATGACCAAGTGCAACTTTTTTTTTACACATCCGGAAAAATACTGTAGAGATAAATGTAATCGCAAATGTCACAGAGTACTTCATCCATCTCAATCATCCCAGTAATAATCTCTTCACTTATTTAATTGAGTTTGATTTTTTTCTTTTTGTGTTGTGTGTATAAAGAAATTGACATGATTTATATGAAAAATTTGCAGGGTGGAAACAATAGGAGTGAGAAACATAAATGGGTAGATAAGTTGACAAAATAGTCGATATTTTTGTAAGCTTGTTGAAGTTTTAATATCAATAAAAAATAATTTTCAATATTTAATTCTTTTTTTTGCAACTATATATGTGACATCTCAAAAATACAGATCAATTTGTCATCCACTAGTAAAACCATAACATAACTCTCATGTATTTTAGAAAAGATTGTAGAATGACACAGTTATTTTTAGTTACATTTTAATCTAACAAATTGCAAAATAAGAGATTCGAACCCTATTTTAGTTTAAAAACGAATGGCATAATGATATAATTAATTACGTATTTTAGTTTTAGCTTTAGATTTTGCTTTAGGGTGAGTTAACATTTTTTAATCCAAGACATATGTATTGAAATGTTCATGAAAATCGGAAAACTATGTCTCTTTCATGATCTTTAAATCATTAGAAGTTGCTTCAACGTTAAGACACAAAAACATATCGTTGTTATATCATTGTCTCTTGATTCAACACAAAGCCAACTCTTCTATTTATTATCTTCATATCCATTAAAAAAGAAAGAAGCAAAGATCAAAAGAAGATAGAAGAGTGAAAACCAACTTTTTGGTTTAATTTTGTAGTATTACAAATTATCGGACTCAAAATATCCATCAATACAAAGCAACATCTCATAATCAATGCAAATCTTCAGTTTGCATAATTTTCAACATGCAAATCTCAATCTTCTTCACTCGGAAACCTTCCTCAATTGGGTTCACAACTTCACATTAGTTCTTCGTTATTGGGCTGTTTTATGGTTTGTAAAAGTTGGACTTGACCCACTAATCATTATAGTCTGGGCTAGGCATGTATTTTGTTTCTTTCTCCTACAATAATATCTCATCAATACATCAAAGTGACAACATGTTCATGAACAAAAATCTGAACCGGGAAGTTGTTCTCACCTTAACCAACTACACGCCGTCTTGAGTTGATTGATGACGTGTGACATATTAATTATATTAAGACACGTCGGGATAAAGCTTGTTTCATCAGTGCTTCTCTTTCATCAAAAGTTCAAGGAAAAAAAAAGAAAAAAATCGACAATTAAATGAATTTACATCAATGCTATATGAACTTTTAAAGATCCAACGTAGATTAGTCAACTATTGCAACATTATGTGTTTAGCGAGAGTTAACATCTAGTATAACATTTAATCCAAAACATATACAATACAAAACTACACAACTCTTAAATTTATACTTATCTCTATTTACAAACGGTAGTTTATGAGTTTTCTAAACAATATTATGAGATAATTATGTAAAAATCGATTTAGCATATTTGCATATATGAGTAAGAAAACAAAAATAAAAAAAAGAGATATAAGAGCCTAAAAGAAAAGTTTGTTCTTTTACATATTTTGTTATCGTAAATCATTAGAAGAATCTGATAAGTATGTTAATGTTTCAAGAAGTGTACTACCATAGCACACATGTACTTTTATAGTATCTTTATTCTTGCCAAGCATGTCTAGATGAACATGGTTGCTCAGGTATCAAACACAATGTGGAATGTATGTAGCTTCCCAATGACGGATAATCCTTATAGCACTGGTTAGATCAGAAGAAACATATGCCCAACAAATAATGTGTTTGAGCTGATCTCGAAAATAACCAGCCATCACTTTCCATAAAAAGCTCAGTGTATGCTTAAACAAAACATACAACAAAGAGTTTATATATTTTGAAAAATTATGAACATGAAAATACTGTTTAGAAAACTCATAAACTACTGTATATTGTTGTCATCAAGTGATTCACATATCTGTTTATTCGAGCAAGAAAACAAATATCAAAAAGAGATACAAAAGCTAAGAAGAAAGTTTGACAAAAAAGAAAAAAAAAGTTTGTTCTTTTACATATTATGTTATCTTACCTCACCAGAAGAATCAAAGACTCAAATTGTTTATCAGCACACAACAACATCTCATCATCAATAACATCATTATGCTACATGAGAAGAATCATATAATCTCTCTATGCAAAACATCAAAACGACAACAAGTGTATCAACAAAACTGTAAACCGACGTTCTAGCGTTGACCAAACTACACACCGTCTTGATCAATGACGTGTTAAGATTAATGGCTCATTGTCACTTAGTCATAGGGGTGTCAAAATGAGCTAGCTCGCTCAACTCGGCTCAACTCATGATGAGCTCGGACATTTCATGAGCTAGCTCAGCTCAGCTCATTTATTAGATGAGCTTCAATATATAAACTCGGACTCAGATCATCTTGGTCGCGAGTTAAATGAGCTAGCTCGCGAGCTCATAACAAATAAATATAACAACAAAAATAATGTAAATTTTTTTTTTAAAAAATAAAATAAATCCAATAACATAATTAATTCTAAAGTGAAATAATGGAAATAAATCCAAGAAAAAAATAACCTCAAAACACAAATTTTCTAATAGAATAATTCTATTTTTGTTTAATTTAAATAGAAAAGATATATATGCTTATGTTGACATTTTGTATATATTTACAAAAAATATATATATATATATATATATATATATATATATATATTTGTAAAAAAAGCCGAGCTCATGAGCCAGCTCATGTTCATTAAAACTCGCTCATATAACTCGCGATCTAAAAAAAGCTCGTTCATATAACTCATTTATTAAGGGCCTGACTGGTTTAAACGCAGCGGTTGCGGTTGCGGTTGCGGGAGTTTGCGGAAGCGGGCGGTTGCGGTTTCAAGCGTTACCAAGCGTTTTGAACGACTGGTTTAGCGTTTGAAAATGGATGCGTTTGCGGGAGTTTTATGACTGGTAAACCAGCGGGTGCGGTAGCAGTTAAATAAAAAAATAACCAAAATAAATAAGAAATATTAATAAACAAGAAAGCACAAATTCCATAAGAATATCAAGTCAACAAAACCAAAGCTAATCATCCAAAAAATCATTACGAGACTCCTTGGTTTGTCGCTTCAGAAAAGGTAGCTTCTCATTATCTAGGAGAGCAAGAAATAAACCGCGTACAACATCATTTGTAGCAATAAGGTCAAGAGATGCCCAATAAAGCTCCGTCATTGGAACTAGATCAGGTACTGCCCTCACATATTTGACAACAAGAGCCATTCGTTCTTCAGTGTTATCAATTCTAACAAGAAACGAGTCATCTCATTTGACCAAGTGAGTTTCTATTTGAGAAAAGAAATCGAAACATATATTCAATCAAAAAGCAAAACAATACATAATGAAAAGAAAAAAAACGATGCCATGAAAAATATTCAAAGATTTACACATGAGGTGATGAATGAATAAAATGTTATATGATACTTACGTTTGTTTCTGGATTTTCAGCAGTTTGGGTGGAAGACATAATTGAGAGAATAGGGTTTCAGAATATTGATTATGGTTATTTGATGAGAACGTGAAACAAAGATGAAAGATATATATAGGATTAATATATATTATAATAATTATAAGTGAACGTTTTTTTTTTTTTTTTTTTTTTTTTTTTTTTTTTTTTTTTATTCAACCGCTACCGCCCGCAACCGCAAACGCTTGCGGGAAGGAGCTTTTGAAATCCAGCGATTTGGAGCGGTTCGAAGCGGTATGGAGCGGTTTCTATGATTGGTACCAACCGCTAACAACCGCAACCGACCGCTAGCAACCGCTATGAGGGTGCTAGCGGGAGAACCAATCAAGCCCTAAATGAGCCTAAAAAACAGAGCTCGTGCTCATAAAAAATCGAGGTGAGCTGAGCCAACTCATGAGTTACGAGCTCATTTTGACACCCCTACTTAGTCACCAATCACATTTAGACACGTCAGGATAGCTCGTTTCACCGGTGAGCTTCTCTCTCATCAAAGTGAAGGAAAAAAAAAACATCAATGGCTTCTTCGTCGTTGTGTCATTGCTATTTTAACCCAATCACTGTCACTCCTTTCTCTAACACTAAACTCAATCACTCTTCTTCTCAATCTTCTCGACGAATCTCTCTTCGTGTAAATCGACGATCCTTCTCTATCTCTGCAACTATGTCTTCATCTACTAAGAAGGTAATAGTTCTTATCGATTTCGTCCTATGAACCCTATCGATCCTGTAATTACTCTTGATAAATCTGAGGTTTTTTTAGGTTTTGATTCCCGTTGCTCATGGTACGGAGCCGTTTGAAGCGGTGGTGATGATCGATGTGCTACGGCGAGGCGGAGCGGATGTAACGGTGGCGTCCGTTGAGAATCAGGTCGGCGTTGATGCTTGCCATGGAATCAAAATGGTCGCTGATACTCTTCTCTCTGAGATCACCGACTCCGTTTTCGACCTTATTATGCTCCCTGTACGTCTCTCTCCGCCAATCTGATTCCATTTGGTATCGAAATAGTTTCTCGATTTCGTAAGCTCTTGTGTAAGCAATTATTAGATGTGTTGATTTCAAATTTTGATTGTGATATAGTGCAGAATTTGATAGATGATACTCTTTTTGTTTTGGTGATGTGATTGGTTAAGGGAGGACTTCCTGGTGGTGAGACTCTTAAGAATTGTAAACCTTTAGAGAAGATGGTGAAGAAGCAAGACACTGATGGACGACTTAACGCTGCTATCTGTTGTGCTCCGGCGTTGGCGCTTGGTACTTGGGGTCTACTAGAGGGTAAAAAAGTGTGTGTGTAGTGATGAAATTCAAGAAGTTTTCTTTCTTTTGAGTTTGTATTTTGGTGTATAAATCACATATGTTGCTTGCAGGCTACATGTTACCCGGTTTTTATGGATAAACTAGCGACTTGTGCGAAAGCTGTTGAGTCAAGAGTGGAAATTGATGGGAAGATAGTGACCAGTAGAGGGCCTGGAACTACCATGGAATTCTCTGTCACGCTTGTGGAGCAACTTCTTGGGAAAGAGAAAGCTGTTGAAGTCTCTGGCCCCTTGGTATGTCTTATCCCTGACTCTTCTATCAACCTTAATTTGGTCTCCAAATCATAGACTGACAGATCTTAGAGACCAATTTCTGTTGAGAAGATGGCTCTCCGCAAAGAAGGATAGATTAAGTAGCTGATTCGAGGGGAGCGGAGCACTTATTTAAGTTAACGCTCTATAACAAGACACCCTAGTATTGTTGGAGCCGCATCTGTTCATGTAAAAAAATACAAATAACACTTTTTAGACCTCACTAGTACTGTGATTTCCTTGAAGCCTGGGCCTGTGGCTGAAATTTTCAGCATTATTTCCCCTGTCCTGTGATTATTGACTGTTCTTGAGAGATTACAGACGATTGAAAGCTATATAGGACACAGAAAAATTTAGGTTTCCACAAAGAAACAACAATTTCTTGGTGGCATAGTCCATGGTAACCTCTTACTCTCTCTTCTTCCCCTTTGCATATCAGGTGATGCGTCCCAACCCTGGTGATGAGTATACTATTACTGAGCTTAACCAAGTCAACTGGTCATTCGACGGTACCCCACAGGTAACTTTCAATTGCCTGTCTATGTGGGTTTATACCCTTAACATTTGCAGATGATTTATATTTGATGGCTAATTAGATTTGTAATGTGAGAGATAATATGGCTGCAGAAGCTGCATCAGGTGGTTATATGATGAATATCAAAATGTTAAAAAAAAAGTTGACTGGCAAAACTGTTCACACTTGCGTTTATGAGCTCATGCGTCTTTCTTAATCAATCTTCCGTACACTGAGAGATCATGGTTTTTCCTTTTTCTAGATCCTTGTACCCATTGCAGATGGCTCAGAGGAAATGGAAGCTGTTGCTATCATTGATGTCCTGAGGCGGGCAAAAGCAAATGTTGTCGTTGCTGCACTTGGTAACAGTTTGGAAGTGGTAGCATCTCGGAAAGTCAAGCTGGTGGCAGATGTGCTTCTCGATGAGGCTGAAAAGAATTCGTACGATCTGATTGTGTTGCCTGTAAGTGCTAACTTCTTCAAATGACGAAAGTTTATAGTGTCAAGCAAGTTGAAGCCAACATGATGAACTTCTCTTTTAATTCACAGGGTGGTCTCGGTGGTGCTGAAGCATTTGCAAGTTCGGAGAAGCTAGTGAATATGTTAAAGAAGCAGGCGGAATCAAACAGACCATATGGAGCAATTTGTGCCTCTCCTGCTCTGGTGTTTGAGCCACATGGTTTACTCAAGGTACAAACAAAATGAGAGAGTAATCACACTAGCATACACATTGTTAGCTTAGATGCGTAGGATCATTACTATATATCCAATGACATGGAGTATTCTGTTGCCTAACCGTTATTTTTCGATCTTAAAACTAAGGGAAGGGTGACAACTTTTTATGGATTTTTGTACAGGGTAAGAAGGCAACAGCGTTCCCAGCAATGTGCAGCAAACTGACGGACCAGAGTCACATCGAGCATCGAGTCTTGGTGGACGGCAATCTCATAACAAGCAGGGGTCCAGGGACCTCATTGGAGTTTGCGCTCGCAATTGTAGAGAAGTTTTACGGGCGTGAGAAAGGACTTCAGCTCGCCAAGGCAACACTTGTGTAAACTCATGAGTATCTTAGGTAAGACTTAAGAGTGACATTAATAAGAAAAAGGGTTTAGTATCATCAAATTATCAATGAGTGAACCTTTGTTGTGGTGAGCTTCGTGCTGAGTGTGATGCTTAATATAATGTCTTATAAATAAACGAGGTTACTCTGTTTTTATCAGAAAGTGTTTTTGTTCCTTTACATTGCGAATTTTAGAATATAAGAAAGTACTGAACAAAAAGAAAGAATATAAGAAAGTAAATTTTCTTTTAAAATTACAAAACAAATTGAATTAGATCATTGTTATTAAGCTAGCTTCTTGTTCTGTAACATCTGTACCATAAGATGAAGAATCCAAGGACTCTGTACCCGACGATGAAACTTGCCATGATACCAAGATTGCTCCATTTCTGAGACTCCTTAAGGTCTTGTTGCTTTAAGAACACGTCTCCTCGATACTCGTTGATCATAAGGCATTCGAATGGATACTTGAAGAGGCTGAGATAATGCATGAACTCCCAGTAAACAGGGATCCTCTCTTTTGCGATGAAATACCCAGAGAAGAGGAAAAAGGATCCCATAAGACCTGAGATCACTGATGTCCCCATTATGAAGTTTGGAACAAGAGCACTGAAACATGCAACAAAGGAGTTTGACATCAGAAGAACAATCCATATCACCAATGAGAAGTAGAGGAAGCCGTCTAGCTCTCTTCTGAGACCGACCAGCCAATAAACCGGCGTAGCAAAGAGCATGCTTATGATCAATAGGAAGGGAATGAAGATGAGGGTATCTGCTAAAACGTAAGACAAAACTCTGTAAGCCCTTCTCGATGTCTCTCTCATTAGGATTCTCCGGTCTTGCAAGAATATTGGAAGTCCCTCCGTTGTGGAAGATAGTAGGAAAGTGAGGGTAAAGGCGAAGAACCCAGTTCGCAAGACTTTCGCTTCATTCTTTTGATTTCCTACGTTCAAGTAAATTGACCCGAGTATGAGACCGGCAATGGAAGCTTGTAAAGCTCTGGTTGTGAACAATTGCTTGGTTCTGAAGATGTTCTTGCAAGATCTTTGCCCAAGTATCTGCACTTCCTCTAACACTGAGTTGCTGTGAGAGTCAGATTGATGAAGCTCTCCTCCTGCGTTAATATAGCAGCTCTTCCATGTTTTGCTATGACCATAACATGAGATTTCTCTGCAACTCTGGGTTCTTATCGGTTCAAGACTCCCTGCAATATCAATTGCATACTCCAAGACATTTACCCGCCGAGGAATCTGGTGACCGGAGAACTTAATCTTCTGATGAAGGCTATTAACCGATCCGTTTTGAACAACTAGCCCATTAGAGAGCAACACTATCCGGTCTATCAGCTGGAGTATGCGAAAACCAGGCTGGTGAATCGTCAGAACAATGGTTTTACCTTGTTTAACCGTCATATCTTTGAGAAGCATCACAACTTGAAGAGCGGACGCTGAATCCAAACCAGAGGTTGGCTCATCGATCAATATAACATTTGGATCATGTACAAGCTCAACTCCAATAGAAACCCTTCTTCTCTCTCCCCCAGAGATTCCAGATCTTGATCCTTGACCGATCCTTGAATCCGCAACATGTTCTAGACCGAGTTCTTGAATCAGCCTCTTCACCTTCGCGGCAGCCTCTTTCCTCTTCGTCTTCAGCCTCAAGAGTGCGCTGTACGTCAGTGTTTCTTGCACCGTAAGAAACGGAAACAGAGCATCTTCTTGTGGCACATACCCTGAAACCCTCCTGTACTCAGGACCATCCATAGGCCTACCATTGACAAGCACTTGCCCTGAAGCTTTCCCATGAGAAACTTTCCCGGCGAGAATCTCCAGCAAAGTGGTTTTCCCAGCCCCACTCGGACCCGCTATCGCCGTGATCTCCGCGGATCTTGCATCACAAGAAACATCTTTTAAGATAACCTTTTCTTCCTTCTCACGCAACAACCCACATAAGTTAGAAAATTTTGGAGCGTTTCCGCCTAATCTATATGACAGATTCTTGGTTTCTAATCTATATGAGATTTTCCGGCCACCGGGAATAGGAGCTTTCACCGGTAATTCCATCTAAGAAAGATAGAAGGAAAAAGAAAGCATCAAACTTTGAGAGATAGAGAAATCAACAAATTGAGCAAAGAGTATGAGATTAAGTGAAGAATAAATGGTAGAGAAGATGAACTAACACACCAAACTTTAAGGAACCTCTCAGTTTATTATTCAAACATTCAAAAGCTTCAAGACTTTAATAGCTTTCTCTCATTGCCTTCCATGAAAACCGAAAAGAATTTGACTATGACTAAAAAAAAATCAAAGATATTTGTGATACCAAGCTTAATTTGTTTTTCTTAATAAATTATTTGTTCGTAAATACAGTTAGATAAATTTATATGAAGGTAACATGTGCTGTTTTTTTCCTTGTATTTTTAATTTCTAATGAAAATGGTTGACCCAAAAAAAAAAGTATTCTAAGAAATTAAGATAGTTGGTTTCTTTTTTTTATTGGGTTTTGGAATTGTGAAGAGATACAAGAAAAGCAAAAAAAATAAAAATTAGTTAGAAAGAGATTGGTTTCTTCTGGAGATTCTCAAATTCGGGTGAGCTGAAAAATTGACTGTGAAATGTTTGCCTTATTGGTGAACTTGTTTTATCTAATTTTTTCTAATACAGAGAGGAAACCCAGTTTGGTGGTTATATATTACCTACAAAATTAATTACGTGTTTAAAACTTATGTTCCATATTTCCATAAGCCATTTAGAGGTTTCGCGTACGGGAATTCGGATGTTTAATAAGGAGTAATCTCCTAAGAAACCTCGCTAATTTGATTATCTTAGGATAATATTAAGGAAAAATGTTTGCTTGTTAATTAAACACACTAGGTAGAAACCCGCAATTTTTTTGAAATTTATTTTATTTAAACAATCAAAACTAAAGTAATATTATTACATTAAAAAAAAAAAACAGGATTTGTTAACAACAAACTAAAAAAAGAAAGGATATGTTTAAAATAAACAGTATAATTACAATTTTGTTTATTTGTCTAAGAGCTTGAAGACAACTCTTTATCTTTGTTCTATTATGAGAAATACAAATAAAATTATCCACATAAATCCAGGATATAAGATAACATAAAAAACATGCAAACATAATAAAGTTTTTTACATTGATTTTACTATTGGAATCAATTAGTTTGTCGACCACAAGAGACATCAATCTCTCTTGAAAAAATTATTAGACAAAACTAATTAAACACAAATTACGAAAATTTCATGAAAATATAGAAATCAAAAAAGATGGACCAGACTTTGTTATGGGTTTTTAAAATGAATAAGCTAAACAATTCATAAACATTGGTTAATATAATTCTATTCGTGACTTAAAATTAGAATATTCAAAGATAAACAGTTACTGAATGACGATCCAATGTTCTTAGCATTTTAAGGGAATCCCATCTTTCTCTTAACTTATATTTACCATTAAATATTCTATGAATAGAGTAGATCAAGCGTTTGAGCCGGCGTGAGATCACCTTCATTCAAAACATAAACTACATATACAGAGTTAATTCTCAACTTTTTGCTATGCTGAATTATATATTCTTATAAAATAGATCACTAATAATAACCAAATTAATCAATAACATTTGTGACATTTCAGCCAAAATTTACAAACAACAAAAAGAGCATAAATCCAAAATAAACCAAATTGCAAAACTTCACTTAGCTACACATCTCTATGGTTAGATCATAGAATAATTTGACCATTTTTCCCTTTAGGGATTTCAATTTTGAACAGAAACTAACAAAACTTTGCGCTTTATATGCAATGCAGATGATCAAGTGAAGCAAGATACATGTATAAGAGGAACATAGAGATTCAAGTTTGACCATACATCTTGAAGTAACAAGACGGGATAATAGAACAAGTGTGAGATTACAATCCTAAGAGTGTAATGTTCTTTACTGCTGTGAATTTCTTAAATTGAAAAAAAAAAAACGTAAACCAATTTAGCAATAATAAACTCTTATGAATAAACTATGATTCTATTGTGCTTGTGTACCACAAATAATTTTAAGAGAAATAATCTAAGATTTTTGGAGTATAATATTCACTGAAACATATTTACATATATCACAATATAAAAACAAATCTAACATTTGTAAAAAGTTAAACATATACAAAAACATAAAATAATAACAAACAAATACAAATATTAACTACATGGTACATATTTTCGTAAAAGTAAGATATAAAAATTATTTATTAGTGTATACATATATAACCTAATAAAATAAAAAAAATTAAAATACGAGCAAATGTAAAATAATATCTGAAGAACCTATTACATTTTTACCGTAAAAACTTATATTAAAACAAAATTAATTTATAAAAGCAACACGCTGCGTAAACTACTTGTTAAATTCACTTCATGCATGTTGTTCTCTAAAAATAATTTGATGTCAAATAACTTTTTAAAAAATAAAGAGGATAGTTTTTTTTTCGTTTTTTGTAGATATTGAATTATTAAACAAATTAGAAATTTATTTATCAATATCAATAAATTTAAAATCATTATGTGTATGATTGAATCAATGGTTGTCTTTTTTAAATAATGTGTTTATTTTTGTTTTATAAAAAGCTGATGTGGCATGCTGGAAATCTGATGTGGCAAGCTGGAGAGATGATGTGTATTAATTGAAATGTTTTGATTGGATTAAGATTTTAATGATGTGTCGCTTCCAGAACAGCCCAAAAAGCTGAGGTGTCACTGCTGGAGAGACTCTTATTGTTTTTATTGTATTGATTAGAATATCTTGTGTAGGTGGGCATTCGGTTACTAGGAGTGGGTGTCCGGGTCCGGTTCAAGTTTTTCGGAGTTTTGGGTTTAGGTTCATAGAACCTATTTGGGTATTTGATTTCAAATATTTTTGTCGGGTTTGGTTCGGTTTCTTCAGGATTCGGTTTGGATCGGATTTTAGCTAAAAAAAACTATCCAAACTATTTAAAATACTCGAAAGTCAACGACATACCCAAAACTAGGTAAGGGAGTTATTAATAGGTTAGTTATGTTCGAGTTTTTTCAGATAACAACGTCCAAAAAAAAATTTGAAACAGGGTAAAAATCAGATCATTGGTATAAGTAATATCCAAAGGAATTCGCCCGAGAAATTAGCTAATCTAATTGGTTTGAATTTCTTAACTTCATCTTGAATCTTTGATCATACACCTATATAAACCAAATCGAGACCCATGAGCCTAGCCAAGCCTTACAAAAACCAATTAAATTATGAAGATTTCCTGACGAAATGGGTTTCTCGATAATTTTAAATAATAATGGGACGATTTTGAAAATAATATATAACAGTAAGGATATTACTACAATTTTCTGTTTTTACATAAAGTATCCTTCAATGATCGTCTCTACAAAAACCCATTTCTGTTAGGGTTTTTCCATTTCCACTAAAACCTCTCCATTTTAATCATCTTCCAATGGCGATTTCTCGTTCCATCCTTCGCCGGCCGGCGAAATCCTTTTCCTCACTGTTCACTCGTTCCTTCTCCTCTTCATCTCCTCTCGCCAATTCCCCGGCTGTTTCTCGATCTGCGTCCTCGTTGCTGAACCGTTCTCGTTCTCTCGTTGCTGGATTCTCAGCGTTGGTCCGTGCTGGTGTATCTTCGGCTAAGTGTATGTCTACGCAGGCTACTTCGTCTTCACTGAATGATCCGAACCCTAATTGGTCGAATAAGCCACCAAAGGAGACGATTTTGCTCGATGGTTGTGATTTTGAGCATTGGCTTGTTGTCATGGAGAAACCTGAAGGAGATCTCACTAGAGACGAGATTATTGATTACTACATCAAAACCCTAGCTCAAGTTGTTGGCAGGTATATATATATATATAGATCCATTTCCACAGTGTTCTTTGATCTGTTTCTAGAGTCTTACTGTGTTTAAATGTGTATCTTATTTGTGTGTTTTAGTGAAGAGGAGGCAAGAATGAAGATTTACTCTGTGTCACACAAATGCTACTTTGCTTTTGGAGCTCTTGTTTCAGAAGATCTTTCATATAAGATCAAAGGTAAAGCTTGTTGATTCTTTTGCTTGCTTGAGTTTATTATAAGCATTGATTTCTTATAATTTTGTATGTGAAAATCCAGAGTTGCCTAAGGTGAGATGGGTTCTTCCTGATTCCTACTTGGATGTGAAAAGCAAAAACTATGGAGGTATGTTGTTTAACTCTGATGATTGTTCATTGTAGTCACAATATTCGTTGTTGACAGCTGAAATTTGTTAGGGACATTAAGATTTGATCTTGTCAGAGAGTAGTAATTAGTTTTTGATGGGGTTTCTGAAATTTGATCGTTTCAGGAGAACCTTTCTTTGATGGAAAGGCTGTTCCTTATGACCCAAAGTATCATGAAGTGTGGATTAAAAACAGGCCCGTCTCTACCCCTAGGTAAGGTAGGCAAATGCCAAGGGTCCAAAATTAATTTCAAAAATTTTCTTAAAGAAAAAAGGTCCAAAATATTTTTTTTTTAAAATTACTAAGAGATTTTAATTTTTTTTTGGTTTTTCCATACGTCTCATAATATATTGAGACGGTACTGATTAAAAACAACGATAGCAGTAACTCGCACTCGCAGGCCTCGCACCTTGAGAAGAGAGAACGTTAGGGGAAACCAAGACACGGGTTACAGAGGTCCACCACCAAACCAGGGTATGGGAGTTGCACCACCTCCACCGCCTCACATAGGCAACAACCCAAACATGCCGCCTCATATGCCACCACCTAACATGAACCAGAACTACAGAGGTCCTCCACCACCAAACATGGGTCAGAACTATCAGGGACCACCACCACCGAACATGAACCAGAACTATCAGGGACCTCCACCACCAAACATGGGTCAGAATTACCAGGGACCACCACCACCAAACATGAACCAGCAGAACTACCAGGGACCTCCACCATCAAACATGGGTCAGAGTTATCAGGGACCTCCACCATCGAACACGGGCCAGAACTACAGAGGACCTTCACCGCCGCCACCAAACATGAGTCAGAATTACCAGGGACCACCACCACCGAACATGAACGGAGGATGGTCTGGAAACTACCAGCAGAATGGTGGATACCAACCAGGTCAGGGTGGTGGAATGCAGCAACAGCCTTACCCACCCAATAGGGACCAGTAGTTGAACCGTCTTGGGTTTTCATGTATAGGAGCCTTTCAATATGGAGCTGATGATACTATCGTGGTCATGTTTTCAGTTTGGCACTCTGCTTTGTGAGAGAGAGATTCAGAGTTAGTCTAATAAGTTCTGCATGAGTTAATGTAGCAGACCTCTATCTATCTAATAATAATTGGTTTATTTATTATATCCTCAAGTCAATCTTGTTTATTTCAGTATTTAGTGGCACAAGAAGTCTATAAAACTAGTAGTTGAAAAGAGTCAATCAAAATCCATTGATTTCATGGCAAAAAGACCAAATCTCGATAAAACATCATTTCCACGTTGGTTCTTGGCGGCTTGGATCTGATCAGCAAGTGAGATATCTCCTCTTGTTCTCTCTTTCCTTATCAGTTCCAAATCCAGTTTCTCCAGTTTAGCTGCAACTGAAACTACTCTATCCCTTCCAACAGCGATTTTGCCAAGACTTGTTTTCTTCTTGTGAATCTGACAAGACATTTATTCAAACCAAAGAATCATCAAGGGGGTGGTTTCTAATTTTCTCAGAGACATCAAAGGAGTAGTTTTCTTTTACCTTTGTTAGTCTCTTCTTCAGTTTAGAACGTGAAGCAATGGTTGGATTCTCCCTTTTCTGCTTTGGCTTTCGAATCTTTCCTTCTCGACGGTCTTTCTCTTCACGTTCTTTCTTTCTTTCTGCAACTCTCCTCATCTTCTCGGTCCTGGCTTGTGCAGCTTGTTTCGCTATCATCTTGGTTTGTTCTTTTGCTCTTGCTTTCTCTTCAGCTAACTGAAGCTGCTCAGATGAAAACTCTTGTTTCATTATTTCATAGCTGTCCCACTCGAGTTCTACTTGGCCATTCCCTCCTTTCCTTGCAGCTTCTGCAATGTTTTCCGACCACGATGACATGAACTTCTCCTTTAATCGCTTTGATCTTGACCGTTCAGCCCAAACTTGTTTCACTGAAGCTCGTATCTTCTCCTTGGTTTCATCACTGCAAGAGACAAACTTAGCTTTTATATGCTTCTAGCTTCATCGTTGTGTATCTATTCTACACTTAATAGTTCACAAATCTACCTGTGTGGTTGTTGATGATCAGACATCTTCTTCCGAACCTGAAAGTTATTGAAGAGAAAAAAAAGTTCTTTAAACTTATTTCACGTAAGCACAAAAACAACCCGAGACATATTGCCAGATTAGTTTTCTTGTTTCACATCATATGATTCTCACTATAAACAACAGAAGATGCACAACAACAAAATGTCCCTGAATTGCATTGAATCTTACTTGACTTCACCTTGGGATTTCTCAAAGCTTCGATTGTTCTCTGCTTGATGCGTCTTCGAGTGTCTGTTAAAGAGTATCAACAATCTCACTACACAAATCTTCAAAGAAGAAACACTTTAAATAATCGAAAAAATCCCAGTCTCTCTCTCTCTACCTTCACTGTGTTTCCTTCCTTTGTTCCATGGAACCTTTCCTTTATTAGCTAATCCAATCTTCCTTCTCCTTTCCTCTTCTTTGATCTTCCTATCACTATCACTATCAGCTTCAGTATCTTTGTTCATAGCCTTCACTTCCAAAACACTTGAATTGACTTCTTTGCTACCAACCTCAAACACATTGTACAATGAACCTACAGATTTCAATTCCAATTGTCTGATAGAACTCAAAGAAGCAAGTGAATTAGATTCTTTGAGATTCCAATAAATCGCAGTTGGGTACCACCAAGCGCATCGGATTGAAGCACGAATTGATTGAATTGGGTATTTCATCTCCATCGATAGCCCTCTGCAAAAACTTTCGAAAGCGAATCAATATAGGTCTAAGGAATTCAACAATTACTATCTAAACTACACAAATCGAATCAAAACCCAAACAAATCAACCAATATCTATCACCAAATTAGAAGTGATATTTTGGTAGCCTCGATTTCGAAGATAATTTCATATCAATGAAATAAGAGAAAGCTTACGAAAGCAGAAGCACTCACAAATGCAGCGACATTCCGGCAGGGGAGAAGTGAAGCGGGGACAAAATTACAGGAAATTCTAAATTCTTCGCTCAATTTAATCGTTTTCCGGCGAGAGCCATTGATGGAGAAGACAGAAGAGTGAGCAGTGAGAAAGACAGAGCGGGAGAAACAGATAAGGGAAGATGAGAAAACATTATTGGGCCATAAATGGGCCTAATCCTTATTAATACCTTAAATTACAATTTTATTAAGCCTTGTAAAGCCCAACTTAGACTATAAAGGAAACATATCGTCCCTCTTATTTAACTCGCCGATCTTTTTTCTCGATTAATTTTTTCTTCTTCTTCTTCTTCTTCGTGTACCGCTCTCTCAGACTCGACTAGGGTTAAGGATTTTAAGGCCAAACCTTCGACCATGGATATGATGAAGAAGCGAAAGCTCGATGAGAATGGAATCGGGATGCTAAACGATGGAATCAACGGAGCTGTTTCGTCTCGATTGATGCCACAAGACGCGAGAAAGATTATCGAGCGATTCTCTACAGATCAGCTTCTCGATATCTTACAAGAAGCTGTTGTACGGCATCCAGATATTCTAGAAATCGTTAGATCAACCGCAGATTCCGATATCTCTCAGAGGAAACTCTTTATCCGTGGACTGGCGGCGGAGACAACGACGGAAGGTCTTCGTTCGCTTTTCTCTAATTACGGAGATCTCGACGAAGCTATTGTGATTCTCGATAAGGTAACTGCTAAATCCAAAGGGTATGGTTTTGTGACTTTTAAGCATGTTGATGGAGCTTTGCTTGCTTTGAAAGAGCCGTCTAAGAAGATTGATGGCCGCGTGACGGTTACGCAGCTCGCGGCTGCTGGGAATCAAGGTACGACCAACTCACATGTTTCAGATATATCGATGAGGAAGATTTATGTGGCGAATGTGCCGTTTGATATGCCGGCGGATAGGTTATTGAATCAGTTTTTGGCTTATGGGGATATTGAGGAAGGTCCTTTAGGTTTTGATAAAATTACTGGTAAGTCAAGGGGATTTGCCTTGTTTGTTTATAAGACTGCAGAAGGTGCTCAGGCTGCACTTGCTGAACCTATGAAGGTGGTTGATGGAAAGAATTTGCAGTGTAAATTGGCTATTGATGGTAAGAAAGGAAAGCCACCAGGTCAAGACGGTGGTGCTGGAGTTGGACATGGTCACGGTCATGGTGATGGAATGGGTATGGTTCCTCCTCCTGGACCTTATGGTGCAACTGCCGGTGGTCACGGTGGACCTGGTGGGATGGGTGGTTATGGTGGGTATTCCGGAGGACCAGCACCACATCACATGAATTCCACACCATCTTCGATGGGTGTTGGTACTACTGCTGGTGGAGCAGGTGGCTATGGAAGTGTATATGGTAGTCATTACAGTGGATATGGTACAGGATCTGCGGGTTACGGCGGTCTTGGTGCGGGATCAATGGGTGGTACTGGTGGTGGCTATGGTGGGCCTGGTACTGGGAGTGGTCCATATAGAATGCCACCAAGTTCAATGTCTGGTGGTGGTTATCCAGAGAGTGGGCACTATGGACATTCATCAGCTTCAGCATATCCTGGACAGCATCAGCCTGTTGGTTCCTCTCCAGTGCCACGGGTTCCACTTGGGGGAATGTACCCCAATGTTCCACCAAATTACTGAACGGTGAGATAGTCCTTCCTTATATTGACTTATTCTTTTTGTTTTATCTTGCTAGTGTTGCAGCTTTTTTTGGTTGCACCGGTTCTTGCATTTTGACATATTCTTCACTTTTTGTTGTATATATTTTTTGCCTGTTGCTGTGCCTAGTTTTGTTTGCTAGGAATTCTTTTGTTTTTTCCGTACTTGTCTGCTTGGGCTAGTTGCTTGCCTTCAGTGGTTACTTTTGGGCTAGAAGCAATACCTGATTATGTTGTTAGCATGTATTCATGTATTTACTTTGTTACTCACAGCAGATAACCAGAAAAGCCGCGCCTTTGAACTCTTTTCTGGTGAATAGCTGGGTAAACTACAGTTATATTAGGCACTAGTACATTTGTTTCTCTTCATCTGCTTTGCCTCTCTTTTATAAATATCTTAAGCTGTTAGTCTGTTTGCAACCATCAGCATCATCATTAGCTTTTGTTTCCTCTCATATTTGCTTTTTAATTACCTTCAAAGTATGCTTGGTGCAACACATTGACCACTGGCTCCATACATAGCTCGTGGAATTCTTGTTTTCTGCTTAAAGTATATTCATCTTTTGAGGTGACTTGTTTGTTGATGCTAATGACCAAATTGAGTTGTGAATGGATGTTTGATTCAGGTTTGTGACATGGAGAAGATGCTTTTTATGCTTAATGGTGATTACCTGATTGCAGCCTCTTTAAAATCTCTGGATTGATGAATGTATTGCTGCTTTGATCTCTCTCTCTCTCTGCACTTGATCTGATTGTGCCTTGGCCTATGAAATGCCTAGTTGTTCTATGACTGATTAGACTAGGAAATTATCTGTATTGTTTTCGTAGACATACGTGGCAGATTGGTTTTGTTCGTCAGAGTAGTGAGTGTTTTTAATAAAGTTGGTGTATTTTTCCTTACTTTGTTTATTGGTTTATTTTCCTTATACTCTTGCGATTCTTTGCTACAAGCCTACAACGTAGTACCTTGTCTGTGATCTTTGTGGACATTTGTTTGGGTTCACCGACCTACAGAATCCTTTACTTGACATAAATGAAGTGGCACTAGAAGATTTGCTTTGTGGATCATTGTTGACTGGTTGATTCATAGGTTAAAGTTGCTGAACATGTGTTTTAGCAGCTTGATATACTGATCAAGTTGTATTGCCTTTCATCTTTTCGAATTAGACTTGGGAAGCCCTATTGTCTATCGATGTCAGATACAGACATGATAAAAGTTTCTTGAAAGAGTGTATTGCTTGTTATCTGATGTTGCCATTGTTTGCTTCAGATGATAAACAAATCTATTTGATTCTTTGTGAAAAGAGTTACTCTCTATGTTCCTTTTGATTTTTGATTTTTTTCTAAAAATAAATTTGTTTGGGTGTATCTCATGGCTATTGATATTTGACAGTTCTTGTTCTGTTGGCCACATTTTACGAGAAATTGGTTTTAAATATTCTCTGGTCCTAGACGAAGACTTTGATATGATGTCGCTTCGTGTCCACAAACAGACTAGTCTTGTGTCATTGTTAGGAATAATTTCTTCACACTAACTTATGACCACTTGGTCTTCTGTTTTACATTTCTTTTGGTATTACTGGGCGATTTGCTGGTGCGACCGAGGAAGTGCGGCTGTATGACTTTGGGCTAAGGACGGTGACAAGACCAACTCTATAAACATGTAATCTAAAATGTGTATCGCTACACTCTGTACATTTCTAATCATATTCACATACACTTACAATAGAACATAGAAATTAGGCCGAGACAATTAGAACTTTTGGTCTTTACCCATTTTTTCCCCAGAAAATGTGAATATAATCTACAATTTGGAGCTTCTAACTGAATTACACCTTTTTTGTTTCAAGTGTAACCTGAAGGAGTTTTATTTTCATATATATAGAAGGATTAATCTTTTAGTACGGTTTTGAATATCAATGAAATATGAGTAGAGGAGACCCAAAAAATCTGAATAAATTTGAGAACTGTGTATTTTACCTAATATCAAAACAAATTAAACCAAAATCTTAAAATTAAATTACGAAAAAGACCTGAAAGCATTAAAGTGAAGAGGTGGTATATCTCATCGAGTGTCTCGCCCAGCTTCTTCAGTCTTCACCACATAATAATATTAAAAAGCATTTTCTTCTTAGATTGCTTCAGATTCGTTTAGCTCACTCTTTCCCCTCGAGAAGAAACCCTAGAAATCTCATCGCAAAAATGTTCAGATCTATGCTCGTCCGATCTTCTTCCTCCGCGAAGCAGGCGGTTATCCGCCGTAGCTTTTCCTCTGGTTCCGTCCCCGAGCGTAAAGTCGCCATCCTTGGCGCCGCCGGTGGAATTGGTCAGCCTCTTGCTCTTCTCATGAAGCTTAATCCTCTTGTCTCTTCTCTCTCCCTCTACGATATCGCTAACACTCCTGGAGTTGCCGCTGATGTCGGTCACATCAACACCAGATCTGAGGTATTCACTAACAAATTCCCTTTTTTGACTTCAATTGCTTCCTCTTTCAGATTCTGAATAGAGATTTATCATCTTGGCTTATTAGAATCTTTACTTGTTCACCATACTGATTCATGTGCTATTCACTTGTGTTTGATAGGTTGTTGGATACATGGGCGATGATAACTTGGCCAAAGCTCTAGAAGGAGCTGATCTCGTTATCATTCCAGCTGGTGTACCAAGGAAGCCTGGTATGACCCGTGACGATCTTTTCAACATTAATGCTGGAATTGTCAAGAACCTTTGCACTGCCATCGCCAAGTACTGCCCACATGTAAGCCTACTATGTAATACATATCATAGTTGATGTTTCTGTTGTAATCAATCACATTTCGCATTGCTATCTCCAAAAATTGTTGGTTTTTAGATCCCAGTTGTCTTTTATATCACATGCCATGAGCTTGAATTTGCTCTCGCTTCTCTAAGATTGTTGCTTTTTAGGTGTAAAAATGTATCCTTTTGTTCTACTACTGAGTGGTATTCTATCAAATGACTGACCTTTGGAGTTACTCTTTTGTTGAATCAGGCACTTATTAACATGATCAGCAACCCTGTGAACTCTACTGTTCCAATTGCAGCTGAGATATTTAAGAAGGCTGGTATGTACGATGAAAAGAAATTGTTTGGTGTTACCACTCTTGACGTCGTCAGGGCCAAGACTTTCTATGCGGGAAAGGCCAATGTCCCAGTTGCAGGTATGTGTATAGATGTCATTTCCTCTTTTGTAATCATAATTGTTGCTTTGAAATGTGTTCATCTTATTACAGCTGTGATTAAAAAAATTGAATGCCGAAACTTAGGCTTTAATTTGAATGCTTTTTGTGTCTGCAGAAGTTAATGTTCCGGTGATTGGTGGTCATGCTGGGGTTACTATTCTCCCTCTCTTCTCTCAGGTTACCTCTCACTTCCTCTCAACTTACACTGTGGTTGAATGTCTTATATCTTACAACGCGGTTTAGCTCTGTTTGACTCAAAGTTACTCTGTTTGTAAAAATGTAGGCCACCCCTCAAGCCAATTTGTCAAGTGACGTACTCACCGCCCTCACTAAGCGTACCCAAGATGGAGGTACAGAAGTCGTGGAGGCAAAAGCAGGAAAAGGTTCAGCTACATTGTCCATGGCGTAAGTATTGTACTGGTGTTTACATAGTTGTTCTCACTTACTTGGTAAAGTTTGCTGGATCCTACTTTTGATTCTTAACTTCTGAAAATCTGATAAATTGTTGCAGCTATGCTGGAGCATTATTCGCTGATGCGTGCTTGAAAGGACTCAACGGTGTTCCAGATGTCATAGAATGCTCATATGTGCAATCAACAATCACCGAGCTTCCTTTCTTTGCCTCGAAGGTAATCCTCAAAACTTAGCATCAAACACAGAATGGACTTCCTATGGTCTTGTGTCTCGGTCGATGAAATGAGGGTTTAATTATGGTTCAGGTGAGGTTGGGGAAGAACGGCGTGGAGGAGGTTCTTGACTTGGGGCCACTCTCAGACTTTGAGAAGGAAGGCTTGGAAGCATTGAAGCCAGAACTCAAATCCTCCATCGAAAAGGGAGTCAAGTTTGCCAACCAGTGATTAAACCGACTTGACTCGGTAATTTTTCCAATTTTCCAGCTAGAGTTGCCTCCTCCTTCATCGGGTTGTATCAATAAAAATCCATGTTTGTGCCTCCACTAGTGAAACCGTAAGGCTCTTTGGTTAATCACCAAACACAAAGTAAAACTGTAACATGTCAAGTTATGATTCTTTCTTCCTTTTTGGAACCATGCGACTTTTTTTCCATGAACAAGAGATCATAAGTGTGGGTTGGTTCCTTCTTAATGCTGAGTCTGTGTTACCATACTTTCTGTCTTTCTGTTACATTTTTTTTTTCTATTTGGGTTTAGTTTAAATTTCATACAAAAGTAAAAGAGATTCTTACAGGTCTCAGATAGAGAAGCAAACGGTTTGGAGGAATTGCATAGGTAGGTAGTTTTTGTTTTTCTCGGGTGAGTATATTTTAGTTTGTTTCGGTATTTTGGATGATAAAACAAACAGAAAACATAAATGGATTATCTTAAATGCATTCCATTTGATTGACTAAACAAGTTTAATTGATTATGGTTTAGTTTTTTGTTCAATATGAGATTTCCAAAATTTAACCACTCCAAACCGATTTACAGATTTTGGTTGTGACTGCCGAGTGGCTTATATGTCAATCCTCTCAGTTTCAAAAAATTAGAGAAAAGATCTTTAAACACTTTTGGCCCAATTTCATCAAGAACCAAAACTAGTTTGGTAACATAAGTTTCACTTTTTTGGCCCCCACTTTTCTTCTTTTGGTTATTTTGACTTTGATAACAAGTATTTTTTTACAGTTACATAAAAGTAACAATTTTATATTTATCTCTAGACAAAAAGGGTACCAGAAAACTGAATCCTTTCACTTTTAATTTTTTTTAACATGGCACATGCATATTTATCATCCGTCAACATTCGTCTTTTCTTTTTTCACTAAAATTGCAAAACGGATTATCGAATCCACATTCGTCCTTTCTATATCCCTTTTCACGTAAACCATATATATGTAATATGCCTCGATATATGATTACTAACATATATTCTTTATTCTTTGGTGTACTTATGTATTAGATTTTTTTTTTTTTTTTGGTAAGCATGTATTAGATTTTATATAAGGAGTCTTAATAGACTCATTTAAATCTAATAATTACCGTTAGTGTTATTGCCATTTAAAATGATGTCTTCATCTCTCACATGAAAGTTCAATCTTAGACAAATTAAGACCGGTCACGTTAGAGGAAGCACTGTTTATACCATTTAACTCTCGTCAACAAATTTGATAATCAGTTTATGTAAAATTATAAATAAACGAATAAAAAATAAAATAGTTTATTACAATTCCCCTGAAAATGACAAATACAAACTAATAATTTTGAAAGGGAATGGACGAATGAATTATATGACTTTTCACAATATTTTAATTTATTTTACTACGGAAAAAAATGACAATGGAAAAACAAAATAAAACTAACATATTGACAAAAAAATGTGTTTTATTTCTCTATCGGAAAACAAAACAAGTTGACAAAAATAAATGAAAGGAATAAATATTGGACAAAATAACTTAATAAGAGAGAGAGATAAGTGGGAATGAATGACTGTGAGGGTGATGGGGAGTGTACTTACTGACACACATGCGATCGAAGAACACTAAAGCCTAGATAGAGGGTATATTCGTAAATTCAATTAGACTGTACACTTGGTAGAGTAGGTGCAATTGGAAACATTAATTTGAAATTGGATTCCATTTTTTAACATAACGCTACGTCATCTTTGTACGTGGTCGGTGTTGTGTATAATGGAGAAGTGGTTATAAAGAGAATTTATAGTAATGACAAGAAAAATAGCAAAATAAATAAAGATATAAGCCATAGGGACTTGACATAATAGTACAAGTGGCTTATATATGTCATGATTTTAATGTGGTCGTAGAAAATAGTGGAAGCATGTCCTAAACTGTGAGATCTTTCATGCTTTTCAAATTGATGATTTCATGGTTAATTTCTTGAATCGGGAAGGTAAAAGAAGAAATTATGGGTTCAATGCAGATTGGATCCAACAATAGGAAATGCATAATAGTTAAGTTATTTTATAAACACATACAAATCTAGCTCCTATTTGACCACACACCCATATAAAGAAGAAAACAAACCATATCTCGAACCAAAGACTCCTCAATATATAAATAAGATCCATAATCGGAAAATGATCTCTAATTTCCCTCTCAAGAATTCGATTATTGCTAAGAAACTCTAACTTATTCTTCAAGTTGGTTATAAACTTCTTGTATTAATCGAGTTTTGTTATAAGGATAAATAAATAAAAACCTTGTTCACTCTCTCTCTTTTTTACTGTCCGGTTTACTGTGAGGGATTGGTTCACACAAATTTCTGATCACATATTTCTTTTCATATATATTTTCAAAATCTACACGAATCAAACCTAAAGCGTTCATATTTAATCACATGCTTGTATAGTTGTATGTTAAATGCTCAGAATTTGCTTGTTAACACGAAAAATAACCAGATTGAATTACCAAAATTACTTCTTTTTTTGGTGCAACACCAAATTTAAGTATATATACACATTTATCTTCATAAAGTAGAACTATGTATTTGTATCATTTTCACCTTCCAAAATGTGGGATTGACGAATAGTGGAGTCCGAGAACGAATAGTGGAAAGGAGCATCGACAATGCTTATTTATCTATTCCAGAATGATTCTGTCTAATCATATGGATACTTGTGAAGCATTTTACAGGGTGTAACCTCTAAAGCCAATACAATTTGATTCGAGAGAAAAAATATAATGTACTCCCTCCGTTTCGTTTTAGTTGTCGTTTTAGGATTTAAATTTTGTTTCGTAATAGTTGTCGTTTTAGGTTTTCAATGCAAATGTTTGGTAAAAATTTCAGTATTATCCCTATTGTTTTAATATTTTGGCCAATGAAAAAATTTATAATATATATTAATAAAGGATAAAACAGAAAATTTAATGTTTTTCTTAATTTGTGTGAGAAAATCTTAAACGACAACTAAAACGAAACGGAATGAGTATTTGTTTATAAGTACCATCAATATTAGTTTATACTCTCCAATTATTAGTGTCTCCATCTCTCCAACAGATCTAAAAGCTTTAATTTTTATTTAAAAAGAAATCTTGTATTGTCTATTTATTTCCAACAACCCAAAATAGCTTTACTATCTCAAAAGTTTCGTTTAAAATACTTTCTAACATAGAACAATCTTTGATTTGGTAATTTGCCAATTATTTAGCGTTTTGCATCAAATTTGAGTTTTATTAGTGTTTCTAGTATCTACTACATTCTTAACCAAAAAAAAAAAAAAAAATAGGTGGTTCTACATCAGAACTAAATGTAAGAGGACTATGTATATGTGTTCATAATTTTACATAAACATACTTGAATTACATCCATTGTAGTGTTGTAACTTGTAACTATATAGCTAATACAAATAGAAATGTCATGTAAACTATATATTTCTTTCCAAGAGGAACTCACTATCTTAAGGGTTATTATTTCTTTGGACTTAATAAACTTTAGTTGGTTTCATCGGTGTATCATTGTCCGGGTTTTCTTTTTAGCTTTAGACAAAAAAACTCGAAAATTCTTTTTTTCTCTTGTAAGTTTATCTGTTTTCTGATTCGTTCTTTCTAGAGGAGAATTTTCTTTACGGACAACTTATTATAATGGAGTATTTGATATCAAATGAATTTGACAATAACAAATCTTATTTTTTTATATAAAAAAACATAAAATAAATAAATAGAAAACTTTTAAAAAATGAAATAAAAGCAGAAAAAAGCACAAGTGATGATGATGAGATCAGAGAGCTCTTTTTATGACCAAAACACACTCTTCCTTTAACCATTTTCCCTCTCTTCCCAATCTCTTCCTTCTTTTTTTTTTTACCGTTACTGTAAATTTTCCCGAGAAAAAGAAAATTAAAAAGAGCTTTCGTGGATTCTCGTTTTGTCAATTCCACATCTCTCTATCTCTTCTCTCTCTTCTTGATTCATCTGTTTTGTTCTGCTTCTTGAATTCTCAGAAACAGAGAGACAAAAAAAAAAAAAAGAGACAATCTTTAGACTAAAGAAGATAAATTTCAGTTATGGGTTAGTCTCCAAATTCAATTACGTCTTCTTCTTCATCGTTATTCGATTTGGTGGCGAATTTAGGGTTTGGGTTTGGGAGGAGAGGGAAAATGTTGAATTGAAAAAAAAAACAACGACTCTGGATTCCTCGGCGGTTAACGACCGCCGTCGCCGCCGTCGTCATAACCCAACCACAACCATCAACGACCTTGAAATTCCTCAATATGCTTCATCAATGGCACCAGATAACGACCATTTAATAGATTCTCCGTCGCCGCCTCTTCTAGAGATGAGACACCACCAATCGGCGACGGAGAACGGTGGTGGTTGCGGCGAGATTGTGGAGGTTCAAGGAGGTCACATTGTTCGGTCAACAGGAAGAAAAGACAGACATAGTAAAGTTTGTACGGCGAAAGGACCACGTGACCGGCGCGTGAGACTCTCTGCTCCGACGGCGATTCAATTCTACGATGTTCAAGATAGACTTGGTTTTGATCGACCAAGTAAAGCTGTTGATTGGCTTATTACAAAAGCTAAATCCGCCATTGATGATCTCGCTCAGCTTCCTCCTTGGAACCCCGCCGATACTCTTCGTCAACACGCCGCCGCTGCTGCTAACGCTAAACCCAGAAAAACCAAAACTTTAATTTCTCCGCCGCCGCTGCCACAACCTCCGCCGCACGAAGAAACAGAGCATCATCATCATCATCAAATCGGAGAAGAAGAAGATAACGAATCGAGTTTTCTTCCCGCGTCAATGGATTCTGATTCGATAGCTGATACTATAAAGTCGTTTTTTCCGGTAGCTTCAACGCAACAGAGCTATCATCATCAGCCACCGTCTCGAGCCAATACACAGAACCAAGATCTTCTTCGTCTCTCGCTTCAATCTTTTCAAAATGGTCCACCTTTTGCTAATCAAACAGAGCCTGCTCTGTTCTCCGGCCAGAGCAATAATCCGTTAGCGTTTGACTCATCGACGGCAAGCTGGGAACAGAATCATCAGTCACCGGAATTTGGAAAGATACAGAGACTGGTGACATGGAACAACGGCGGAGCAACTGATTCCGCCGGAACCGGAGGATTTGTGTTTGCTTCTCCGTCGTCGTTGCAGCCAGTTTTTAGCCAAAGTCAGCTTTTATCTCAGAGGGGTCCCCTTCAGTCCATTAACACACCTATGATTCGTGCTTGGTTTGATCCTCACCATCATCATCATCATCATCATCATCATCAGTCCATTACCACTGACGATCTCCACCACCATCATCCTTACCATATTCCTCCAGGGATTCACCAATCAGCGATTCCAGGCATTGCATTTGCTTCAAGTGGTGAATTCTCCGGTTTTCGTATACCAGCACGGTTTCAGGGCGAACAAGAGGAGCATGGCGGCGACAACAAGCCGTCGTCTGCTTCATCTGATTCTCGCCATTGAACAAGTTCCAAAAACACATAAGAATGTGCAACACTACTGGTTTCTTTTCATATTTCAGGTTTGAAATGTTTCGAAAACACCCATTTGTGAAAGTCTTGTCTTTAACTATTCATCAAATTGATAACTTGCATTGTTGTTAACGTTTCAGGGCGCTTCGAATGCGTGGAATAGGGAAGACTTTTTTCGTTGTTGTGTGTTTCGGATATTCAAATGGCCTATAAATCCAAGGAAAGGAATAGGAGAAGGGAGAAATAGAATCTGATCAACAGTTTCAGGTTCATCTTAACCTTCTAAAGCCTAGGCCTTTGTTAATTTGAGTTCATCTTGTATCAATTAGAAAACTTTCTGTTAGTTCAATTATGTTTTCGTTGTTGTGTTGTAACTTGTTCTTGTTGTTGTTCTAAAATTAATTGTCGTTTCCTTATGCTCTTGTGTTGGAAACCTTTAATCCCACTTGAAGCTAAAGTTTCAAGCTTTTCTTTTTTGCCAATCCCAAAGAGGAACAGTGATCTATCCATCTACATCAATCATCATATTGTTTGGTTTAGCGTTTATTAGAAGTATTATCTTCCCAATCTCTATGGTTATAAACTTTCTTTTGACTAGCAAATGGAATTTGAAACAATCATTTCTCTCGTGTTTCTTAGTCTCTTCTTTTGGCCCCATAGATGAAGAGTCATTGTCCGTAGACAGAGTATCTATGTGTTGCTTCTTTTGGACTTTAGGATATAGAATGATGGGTTTAGTTTTAAATTTGTTTAGTGGATGCTAGTTCTGAAACTAAGTATGAGTTTTGGCCCATAATCCACGGATAAATATAAATCAGAAAAATGGTTTTTTGACTCTCTTTTTTTTTGGTGTGTAGCTACTAGATTTCAAGATTTTATGAAAAAGGAGCATAAGAGAATTTGATGTCTAGTGTCAATAAATATCTTCTTTAACACATACTTAAACAAGAGTGTAGGAGATCCACCAAACTTGAGTGTGATATAGTCTTTAATAAGTATAAAGGAATAGGACATTAGATTAGTACATGAAGACACTCTTGTTGGTCTACATGAAGGAAGTTGAAAGAAGAGCAAGTCTCTCTCTTTTAAGATCAATAGTGTTGAGGTATGCAATTGTGATCCATAATTTTTTTTGTTCCAAAAAAAGATAAGAAATTGTGATCCATAATTTGCGGAAAGATTTTAGGTTAATGCTAACTTTTGATGAAGATTCTTTCGATTTTTCGCTATAAAATCTTTCGGAAAAAACTTTGGTTTCTTATGGAGAAGCTCTATAAAAAAGCAACACTTTACATGAGATGTGATTAGATGAGATTGGAAGTAGTGGCTAGACATACTAAAGTAAATTGCAGCTAAAAAGAAGAAGAAGATAGATAGCCTGAATCTTTATCAAATGAATCACTCAAATCATATCCACTAAGACATTTTAAAAACGGATTCTCTTTTCTTCTTCTTTTGTTGCCTCCTTTTCATACATACAATAAATGTAGCTCATGATGAATCTAGTTATGTGAAAAATTAATGAGGTAAAAAAACCTCTTATCATTTTGGGGCATGACAGAAGAAAAAGGGAATGTTGAAGAAGACATGAACTCAATAATAAATAAAAAGGATAGCAAAGTGTAAGAAAAGGATGGAACCAAAAATGGGAAAAAAGGTTGTCACCTTTAGAGAATGGTCCCCTCTTTCTTTCTATCTCTTGTCAGATCTCAAGGTTACATACAGCTGTTACTTTTCTTTGATTTTTCTTCATTCCATTCCATAACCAATGATAAATTTTTCAAATTTGAGAGTTTTAAAAGAAGAAAAGAGTTGCAAAATGGCTCAAAACTTGGTTGTGTGCATGTTCTTTAAACCCAATCTTCAAGATTTGTTAAAGTTGAAGACCGGACCAAAAAAAAAAAAAAGAGATTAGAGCTGGTCTTTCAAAAGCTTCTCCAATCATAACAGTGTTTGGGTCTAAACTCTAAAATGTTTCTAAACAATAATTCTATCGAAAATAATAAATTCACTAGTTTTGGTCCCGGCGGGGCTCGAACCCGCGACCTTCGGCTCATAAGACCAACGCTCTAACCAACTGAGCTACGGGACCCTGACGATAATGGTATACGTTACTACAAAATGAATCAAATTATTCATCGTGGTTTTACAGTAAACAACACTTGCCAAGTTGCTATTGAATCGAAGGAGTTACAAAGGGAAAATTCAGACTCATATGTAGGTAGCAATAGCTAGTCATAAGTTGGTTCCATCTTTTATTTTTTTCCGAAATATTAATAAATTTCAATCTCTAAATATGATGATTACAAATTTACAAGTAACATTTTTGTTTCAATACAAGAACATTCATAAGTAAAAGTGTAAACTGTAAAAGAGCAAGCACACATGAAGATGTAAGAGAAGAATATATACAGAATAAACAAGAACGATGATATTAGCTTAATAATAAGACTGTGTTTTCAATACATAAACACTGACAAATCTCAGAATTTAACTTTTTAAGTTTTTACACTCTCGAATCCATAAACATATATAGAGAAGAAACGAAACACGCGAGAAGAAACTCACTCATGTGAACAAACTCTTTGAACAGAGTGTGATCTCTACGACCAGCCAAACCAGTAATCAAGAATATAGACCAGACCCAAGGAGAATGGGTAAAGCAAGTAAGCTATGAAACATGTCCAAAGAGGATAAGTTGTGCGGAAACTCGCGAAACCGCCCATCACCAGACAAACGATGAGAATCACTAACACTTCTGATGAGAAGTTCCATGTTAGTCCTCGAAGGTAGACGATTGCTAAGAACACCGAGAGACATAGAATATTGTTCATTGTCACTCCACCACATAGCTGAAAACAAACAAACACCAAGAAACGGGTTTTAGTTTAGGAAGTCTAAGGAGACAGAAAGAGATATAGGAATTGTGGTTATGGACCTCGGAGAAGGTTAAAGAGGCGGTTCTGATCTTTTTGCGGGAAGCGAAGATGATGGCAGAGACGGCTTCACTTGAATTGGTGGCCAAAGGCAAAGCTATGAAGGAAATGAAGAAAGACGGGATCCCTGTGGCTGCGGAGAAGTTGTTAACAGTGTCGACTAACGGATCAGCAAATGCAGCTGCAATGGCAGCTCCTAACAGTAGCAGCAGAGCTGCTTTAATGGTGATCCATTTTGGGTCTGCAACCTCACCGCCTTCGCCTTCCTCATCGTTCTCACCATTCTCGTTATCTCCCAACAGAGCATGCTCTCTCTTTGTTTGCTGCAAAACAAAAAAACGAGATAAAAGTAATTGCGTTAGATTCCAGATAAGTTTTGTGACCCAAGTCTGTTCAAATAAGGTTTCAACAGTCTTTCTAACCACATGGAAATTGTCAAGGAATTTCATTGTTCGAGGACCGGCATCAGGACCAGATGGAGCACCTCCCATTGCCTGGATAAGCCAATGCTTAATTCCACGGACAAACTCTTCTTCATCAACTTGCTCATCAAGAGTCTTATCAAAATCTTGGAGAAGTTTTCCCACAGCATCATCCTTGTCAAAATCTATCTCCTCAAAGCTGATCCCAATGATAAGCGCCTTTAGTTCAGCCGCTGATAAGTGTCCGTCCTTGTTTGCATCAATTGTCTCAAACAACCTAATAAACAGATAAACTTGAGCACAAGACGAAACCAAGTAAAGTGCCTACAAAAATGTGCGTTCTCCATGTAAGGAATATATGACTTACCTTCGAATGACATGTTCATCAGGCTGACCTTCATCATCAAGAAGCCTTCCCAGAGCATGTTGTTTCAAATGCTTTAGTATTCCTGATATAACATGCTTGTGTTTTGCAAAAGCAAGCCGTCTCCTTTGGATCCACGGTTGGAAGACCTAGATATCATCATACAAGGCAGAATAATCTCACAAACAAGATGGAGAAAGCAAACAAAAGGACATCAGTCTAATGGATAATTTTCTGGAACTCCTGTCCTGAGAATTTTATGTTACCTGATATACACAGTAAGAGATCAGCATAAGAACTGAAAGGGATAGAGCAACCAACACGGACAAGTGTCTTCCAGATGTTGAGCCCAACATCTGCGGAAGCTGGACAATGACGAAAGGAATAACTGATATAGCCATTATTCTTGCAGCATAGCTGGTCCAAATATCAACAGTTACACCAGAATCTACAAAAAGAGAGTAAACAACAACAATAAGGAACCCGCATATAGTAAAGTACAAATACTAAATTCTATTGTGTTTAGCAGTTATAAGAACCCATACAAGTACAAACAAAGAATCCTGAAAGAATAAGAGACTTTCTCGTTACCATTAAGATGGAAGCCTTTAGTGTCTTGGTTGTTAACAGCAATAGAATCTCGAAGGTCACACTTGCCAACCACAGTGCAAGTTCCCCAGATAACAGTGAGAAGCATAACAGTGGAGCCAGCAAGCAAACCCATTCCCACAGAGACTTGGCTTTGAGCAGTTGCTGCGTCTCCAGAAAGTCCAGACACTGAAAGCCAACAAAAGACATTGTTTATAACCAAAGAAACACCACCAACACATACTAAATAAGCCCATCAAGACAAAAAGATAAGATTTTGACTAAAAAGCACAAGGTGACAAGTTATGAGTTCATCGGTTAACATCAGTGTATCATCATTTCATTCACAGAACCAATCAAATATTCACTTTTTTTTTTCCTCTCTCTCTCTCAAAATACAAAAGAATCGCATAACTCTTTCGAATCTTCTTCATCAAAGCAAAACAAAATTCGTCTTTTTTCACTCAAATGAATTTCAAAATCGCATTTTTCTCCATACGAAACATCGAATCGAATGATACGAAATCTGGGTGATCTAAATTCGAAAAGAATAAACATTTTGACATACCCATAATAAGCATAGCGTCAGGAAGAGCACCGAGCATAGGAAGAAACAAACCACCGACAATTCCAGGGCCAAGAATCTCAAGAAGAAGCTCACTTCCGGCAGATAGATACGTCGCAGCGGTGAACATAAGAAATCCATAAACCAAAATCAGAAACACGTTTCCAAGAGCGGTCTTGGTACACGGCATAAACCCATATGTCTGTTCACAAGCCTCCTTTTCTTCAGCCGGAGCTGAAACAACCGTCTTGATAACCGATCCGGAGCCACCGTCGAGATTTGAACCACCGTCGATTCCATCGGAGATTAGGCTCGTCGAAGATGGATGTAGGGAGACGAATCGAGCGTAAGCAGATGAAGTGAAGAAGAGAAGGAAGAGGAGAGAGATGAGAGATCTGAATCTCATGATTGATTTCGAAAGAAGAAAGCAAAACAACAAAAAAGTAAAATCAAAGGAGGACGTTCATGGCAGTAGTGAGTTTTGTGGATGAGTATGTATATATATATACACACATATACGTGTTTATATACAGATATACGTGTGTGTGTGTAAATCGTGTGGGGCAGTTTTTGTGGTAAGAGCTAATAAGGAAGATGAAGAAAGCAGTGTCTAATTACCATTTTAACCCTGTTAACTTGGTATTATTATTTTACGTATTAAAATACCAAATCGTTTGATTTTCTTCTGCATATAGAGAATTTTTCAATTTATAGGAAATACAAATGTAAGAAAAAGGGAATATAAATTTGTTAGTGTAAGTTATTGATTAATATACATTTGTCCACTTCAGAAATAAAGATGCCAAAGTAGTTGTATAATGTAAGTTATTTAATAATAGTAGTACTAAAAAAGTTGTCCATTTCAAAAAGTAAAAGGTGACAATGTCTTTTTTTTTTTTTTTTTTTTTTTTTGGGCAAAAAGGTGACAATGTCTTTGCCTCTTGGGTACTATACTATTAGTGACTTGCCTACATTAATGGTTTTCCTCAAATTCAACAATGGATTTGTTCAGCATTTATTTATTTTATTTTTAGCATTTTGATATAAAAATACTAAAAATTCAATTCAAAAACAGATAAGGTTGTCATCAATTCATCCGGATTTTTAGTGGGGTAGATATGTCTACAAATTTGAAAATTTCGGTCATTTTATGAAAGGGTGTTTTTATTTTATACTCCCTCCGTTTCGTTTTAGTTGTCGTTTAAGATTTTTGCACACAAATTAAGAAAATCATTAAATTTTTTGTTTTACTCTTTATTAATATATTTTATAATTTTTTCATTGGTCAAAACATTAAAACATTAATGACAAAACATTAATTTTCACCAAACATTTGCATTGAAAACCTAAAACGACAACTATTATGAAACAAAATTTTAATCCTAAAACGACAACTAAACTGAAACGGAGGGAGTACTAAATAAAATATATATACAGTAAAGATTATGTTTGTTCAAATTTGTTTCAATATTTATAGTCAAAAAAATTGTTGATCTTAATCTCAACTTTAAAAACTTTTGGGGTCAATTTCAACATTATTAATGTAGGCGGGAACTGAAAAAAATAAAATAAAAGTAGGTAAGGGCGATTTGGGAACTGTTCGTTAGTTATTATTAACGAATTTGATTACGCGGCCACACGTGTATATTATTAAGCTGATCTCAATGGCAAAAAATCGAATATTAGTCACTTTTGCCGACATTATAGATACCATAAAAATTAAATTTTTTCTAAATTCTGTATTTATAAAAAAAAAATCAAACGAAATGTTGACCAAAAAAACGGAGAAACGCGACGCTGAGCTGCGTTTGAGACTTTGAGTAATCCAAAACGTCGTGTAGTTTTTATCTTTAAAAACAAAACAACAAGCATGTTTGGGTATTTCGAATGAGATAAAACAACTGGGCCTAATTTAGTATTGGCCCAATGGCCCATAGAGAAAGAAGAGCGAAATCTCAAAAGTCAGAATCTATAGCGACATCTCTTTCCTTGCACCTTTCTTCTCTCGCGCTGTTTCTATGGTGGTATTAGGGTTTTGGAAGCATTCCTTATCCTCCAATTCTTCCAAAACCCTAATGTCCACCTGAAAAAAGCTTCATCCTTTGTGACTTTTAACCTTCTCTTACAAGTCTCATTCGTCATCCTCCTTCTGGGCTCGGCAATTCTCGCCGATATCGCCACCTCCGAGCTATTTTTCGATTCTCACATTTCTATAACTTGTGGGTACTGATTCACACCAAGATTTGGGGATTAGGGTAATGGTAGAAACCGAAGAGAAATCTGAAAAGCTTGAGAAGATTAAAGCTAAGCGTCGTCGAGTGAATAGCTCAGATATAGTCTCAGATACACAGAAGTACAAGAGAATTCAGCGCTGCATAGCGAAACCATCTTATCTTCTGAGTCTTGGGCCAAAGTCAAGCCGAAGTGAGTATCTCAATAGATTACCAGGATTACTTCGTGAGCTACTTCGTAAGAGATACTGGAATGATGCAAGTCGTGTACTTTCAGTTCTGATGAGAGGGACAATTAAAGATCCTTGTCCAAAGATGAATCGTCTCAAATACGAGGTTTGCTTTTATCTTTAAAGATTGAAACAGTGTTTGTTTGTTGCTGTCTGTTTCTTATTGTTCCTTTTTTTGGTAGGCTCATATACAAATTGTGAGTCACTTGGAAACTAAGAAAAACAAAGCTGATGAGATTGGAAGAATATATGATACTTGGATTGGCCAGATTGGTAAACTACATAAAGAGGTCCCTTTTTCTATGTGTTTTTAGTTTTCTGGGATTGATTATTGCTCTAAGGCTCGAGGATAACATTGGGGTTACTTGGTCATTTGGACAGGAGAGGCTCTTGGTTTGGTTCGAGCAAATTTGTCATTTTATTGACCATGAGATGAACAGTGAGGCATATAGTGCTGCAATCAGGTACAATTGATATCTTCTTGAACTAGTTTTTTCTTAAAGATGTTAGGATTTCTATAGCTTGCTTTTGATAGCTTAGGTATCATATTTTCAATGCACATGTTATCTTGTAATTGTCTATATTGATAGTTTTTATGTTTAGCTAATTATCCGGAGATAGTCAGTCTTTATCCACTAATGCGTAATTCCATCTTCCTGAGGGTGGTCTGCTATGTTTCTTGCGTGTATGAATTTTTGATGATTTCTCTTTATCTTTTGGTAGCTTGATGCAGAACCGTGATTTCGCAATGCTTCCACGGGCCAATCTGTTTATAGGAATCACATTCTACAAGATGTGGTGTAGTAAATTCTTGAAGGAGTTGCAGCCTGAAGATGTAGATGACAATGAAAGCGTATCCAACGTGTCGGAATCAAGATCTGGTAGTCTGGTTGAGTGTTCAGGCAGGGATGAGTCGGTGTGCTCTATGGCGTCAGAGGTTTCTGCTATAAAAGATTCAGAGACTTCAGTCAGGAATAATAAAAAGGTTTCCCATTTGTCCATCAGTGACTCTGAGACAAGGATGGATACGAAGGTAAAAGTGAAGAGTACTCCACATTTTACCACTCCACCACAACTCTATGCGACCTCTGAAGAAAACGAAGCCTCTTTGGGAGATGGAGTTGAATTTGATCCCACTGTTATTAATATTCTTGGTTAGTACTGAGAATTTCTTTAGCTTGCATTATGCTATAATCCAGAACCAGTTCTGTTGAATCTATGGCTTCTTTTTTTTTTCAATGTTAGGTGACATGGATCCATGGTTGCTTCCTTTAAAACCGCCATCAGATCCTGATTGCTACAGAAAGATTGTCGATGATTCTTATTTTAAGGAAGCATTGAAACATATGCGGCAAACTCTTCAGTCCCCGCGTCATGTATCTTTGGCTGCATTACATCCACTTGTACAGGTAAAAACTGAGATAACTATTTTTGCCTACGTGGCTCATAATGTCATCATCTTCGTCTCACATTAACTAGATGTTTGTTTTTTCCTTGCCTTCTCTTAAATTCCCTTCTAGCTTCTGTTAATTGGAGGTCATGTAGATGAAGCGATGAAAGTAGTCGAGGAGATGTGCAACAAAGTACATGACATAAAACCTTTCAGGTACAAAAAGATCTCTTTCATTCTCTATTTAGTACCTGCACCCGCCCCGTAAGACTTTAGAATATGGAGAAGAGGATTTTCTGAAGTGGTGTTTTGGCTCTTTTACTCAACTGTAGGATTAAGGCCCTAATGATGGAGAAATTTCATCGTAATAGCGACATGCTCGCAAAATGCTATGAAGATATCTTAAAGATTGATCCTTGTTGTGTAACTACTCTAAAGAAGGTTATTGGAATGTGCATAGAAGGTATTTAAGATCAAGCCATCAAACACATTTTAGTCTTAAGACCTTTAATCCTGCCTAAGTCGTCTCTAATACCATATTGCTTAATTACTTTCAGATGAGTATAGTAGAGAGTCGCTAATCGAAATGATAGCATTGCATGTAGAATCTTCTTTTCCTGAGCCCGAAATATGGAAAGAGTTAGCCTCTTGCTTCAGTAACTTCTTTGAGAATCTTGATGAAGACCGATTGTCAGTATGCCTCGACGGATCTGAAGATAAAAAGAATCCACAAACATATTCTGTTCGATACAACCCGACACCAAAAATGTTCACCAATACATCATGGACCCTTCGGGCTAAGTGTTGGCTAAACCGCCATTTCTCCCCGGAAATGCTAGAGACAGAAACAAAAAACAGTATATTGACAGGAGATTGGGAGATGATGACTTACAAAGCGGCATGTGCCAGTCATATCTACGGACGAGAGTTTGGTTATGTTACAAAAGTGTACGGACTGTTGAAGAGTAGCAGCAACAACAGAGAGTTTTTCAAATTCTTGCGAGAACACAGAGTGAATGGGAACAATATTTACAATTTTGAATAGTTTACACAAAGTAGAAGATGCCCGTTTTTGTAGTTTTGCTAAAAACTTTTACTGTACTTCCGATTTTTTTACATTTGATTGTAAGATAGAAATCAATATATGGACCTACAAATTTCTAGGTCTTAAAAGATAAGATGCATTTGATGTAGTTTCCATAATTTTGAAACTTAAGAACCGTAAAAGAGTGTATGTCTTGATAGATCATTAAAGCCTAAGCAAATGACAAAAAAATGAAAAATTTAAGAAGAAAAAAACACTAGAAAACCAAATTAGCCTGTACATTTTTCATTATCAACGTAGCCAAGAAACCAAATTAAAAGATGACAGTTTTTGACCATTCACACATATTATGTGCACAAAAAAGAAAGTACAAATTTACAGAAAATTCTTTTGGAGCTGAAAACAAACCCAAACTCTGTTTTCTTCTCTTCTTTAAAGTCTATAAATATATATATAAACCCAATAGATTAGAAAGTGATTCTTCTTCCTATACCTTTCTCTTCTCCATGACCAGTGCTTCTGATTTACAGATTGGGCAAACGTTCTTCACAATCAGCCATTTCTCCAAGCACTCTGCATGATACTCGTGCCCGCAATCCAAAGTTGCAATCTTTTCTTCGTTCTTGAAGCTTTCCTGTAAAGATATTGAAAGAATTCTTTAGAGCTCTAATTCCAAGCCTGTGCAGCCCACATTACAAAGTTGCAATCTTTCTATGATTGATCTTTGGCTAATTTTTTACCTGACATATAGTGCACGGTTCAGTTTCTAAATCTTTAGTTCGTGGAGACGACGACTCTTTTTCAAGGTTGATTCCAGAACATGTTCTTGTTTTCAAATGATTCTTAACATCTTCCTCTGGCAAACCAGTGTTTACTGTTCCAATTCGCTCACTCAAAGCAAGAAGCTCCTGTTCAAACCCCATATTTTCAAATCAGATCAACAAAATCCTAACTGTGATCACAGAAATTGCATTGTGAATTCTCAAGTTCATGCTAACCCCACGAATCTTCTCAGGGAAATGATAATAAAAGAGGCAACATTTAGCTCCTAACTCTGTTAACTACATCGGTAAAGAGTAGTGATGGGCTCACCTCGTAAGACATTTCCTCGATGTCCAATCGCATATCTCGATGATGATCAATGTGATTATTTCCAGAACCACCAAGGAAGTCTCCAAACTCCAAAAGTGCAACTTCCTACACACATTGAGAGAACCAAAAGAAACAGAACCTTGAGCAACGACGCAAATGGAAAAACATGGGACAGAAAATTTGAGGCAAGAAATTTACATCATCAGGCATCACTCTAAGCCGAGGAACTCCTCCACGGTGTTGTCTAAGAGTTGCTACAGGTACAGAATCATCTCGCTGATGATGCTGGTATATCCGAAACCCAGTTGGTTGAACTGGACCCATGTGACTCGAACCCATCTCTGAGCCCGAGGGGCCACTATTCATTGTGTTCTGCGGAGCAAAACTCCCTGGAGGAACTCTGTATGAAGCCGAAGAAGCTGTGTGAGGATATAATGTGGCATTCTGGCCTCTCATGCCTTGTACAGGAGGAGGGGCCGGGTGGTGATGATGACTATAATAGTGGTCCCTCGGGTTTAACTGAGAAGGATACATAAATGATGTAGTGTTTCTGCTACTAGACTCTATCGAACCAGCGACAATGTTACTACCTGAAAGATCATTCAAAGATAGATAAATAAGATTACAAAGTTCAAAACTTTAAAAAGAGATTGTGTGTTAGTAGGTACCGTGCATGTAAGGTGTGGGCCAGAACGAAGGTGAGCCATCAGATCTGCCGTGGTGTTGATCATACCAGATTGATCCAGGAGGTGGAAAAGGATGATGACCTGCATAGTTTCCTTGAATGAAGTTGTTTGGAGCATGAGGAGGAAGAACAGGGTTCACTGTAACAGCTCCTGGTCTGTTCCTAGACCCTACAAAAGGTGCTATTGTCTCCGGTGTGTTGAATGGAGCTGCTAAGGTACTTAAATATTGAGGTTGTCCGGGTATCCCTTCAGCGTTTTTTCGTTTATATGTCCCTCTTGTGTGATCCATAAAATGAGCATTTCTTTCGTATTCATGATCAGGACTTACTCCAACTACACCGTGACTGCTTGAAGATGGTAACTGACCCGGAGGAGCCTGAAATGCCACATAGGGAACATAGAAATTCGTTGGAGCACGCTGATGAGGATGATGATGATACTGAGGAAGCCCGTAGAACATTGCCGAGTTGTCATAAGTTGGGTCTTGAAGAGAATGAGCTTCTAAATTAGGAACGTGTGCAACCATGGCAGGGATATTATTATTATCCGGTTGTTGCGGAAAGCTGCCTAAAAGGATGCAAGGTTCTGGTTGGAGAGAAGCTTGAGATTGCTGCTGCTCCATTTCTAAATCAACAGTCCTATTTCTTTGTCCCATTTCGCTTGCTGCAGAACCCCTCTGATATAATTCGATCCATAAAAACATCAACAACTATACGGTAACAGAACAAACTATACAGCTGAGTAAGAAATCGAAATTCTTAATTCAAAAGAACCAAACAATGCAACATTATTACATCTCAAGCTGATACTAAAAACTAAGCTATCACATTGTAATCAGTAACGAACTCAAAACATATAAAACACATGTTCTCCTCGATTTAGCCTCAGAAATTGATAAAAATGTCCCTCAAAGAAACCGTTTTCTCGGAAGATTGTTCTGATTGCATTGTGCATTCTCAAACTCATGGCAAAATCATTTTCACAAATATAAATGAAAAAAGACTGAAACTTTAGCTGCAGATATCAGAAACCAAATGCATAAAACAATAAACAATTCTTCAAACACCAAAGAAAAAAGATCAAAACTTTCTTACATAGACAGAAACAGGAAACTAGCACACCATACCTAACTATAATCAGAACAATCCTCTAATGCAATATTATACAAATGAAGCAAAAACAGGAACAAAACTCTAACCTTGAGAACATTAAGATTGTGAGAAAAAGCTTCAATGGGGGCTGTGCAAACAGCAGCAAAAGACAAAGACTTTGCTAATTTTCCTGAGAATCCGAAACCAACAAAAAACTCCCTGCAAAAATCAACAATCAGATATTGAAATTATAAAAACAAACTAACCCAGAACAATGCAATTTCTTCAGATAAAGTTGATGATAACATAAATTCACAATTAAAACAATCAAACAAAAAAACCCACCAAATAAAAAAACGATTTTTATTTTTCCCAGGATAAAAGAAACTGGGAATCAAAAAAAAAAGAAGCTAGAGAAGACGATTATGGTGATGATTAAAAGAGATAATTACCTGATTTTAGAGGTTTAATCAGGGAGAGAGAGAGAGATCCGAAGCAGAGAAGAAAGAGGAGGTGAGGGAGAGAGAGAGAAGAGAAGAGAGAGACGTCGGTTTCTTGATTCTAATTTCTTTATTTTTGCACTGTGACGGAAGGTTTTTATTTATTTCGTATTTATCTTTTTTATTCTATTTTTTCATTGGTTTCTCTTTTTTCTGTTTGATTAATTTTTTTTTTTTTCATTGGTCATTTTTTGCAGCATATTAAAAGTATTTTAATTAGAAATGTGAGTCCTAATTCTATACCTAAACGATGTCGTAGTTATTTATGTGTAATAAATGGAAGATTACTAATTTTTATTAATGACTTTAATAAGTGCACACTTTTGATATCATATGTAAATGTTTCGTTTTTATCAGAGCTGATTTTGCTTTTATTTTATGTTGATTGCTGAAGCATGCCAACCATTAATTAAGAATGATTTTATTAGCTAAGATATGAAAGTTTAATCAGTACACAAAGACATTTAACAAGGAAGTTAAATACAAAAGAAATTAACAAAAAGGATATATATAAATTTTCAAAAAAAAATTATACAATGACTGAAAAGGATTTTTTCTTTTTAATTAAATGATCCACATTGATATAATTTTTGTTATTTATTTAATTTTTGCATCTAAATTTTGTAGATTTTTTGGTGCGTGTATAAGTTAAAGTTTCTGAGTATTTATTTTTTTCTGTATTAGATAGAATTTTGGAGCAAAGTTATTAATTGTTTGGGTTTTTTTCTTAACATAATAAGCTTTGGGGAAGTGTCCCCATGTGCTTTCTTTGTTGAACCAGCTTGACACCTAATTATGCTCAATATTAATTCAGAATTTATGGCTACACAACTTTGTGAACAATCTAAAAAATGTACACACCACATCCTATCCAAAATATTCAAACTCATATGCGTTGTAATTTTCTGATTTTAAATATATGTATTGGCGTTGTTGGTGAAACAGCGTTAAATTCTGTTTTGTAATTCCAAAACATTTTTTCAAAGTTTCACCAACGTTAAATTTCGTAAACTTCTAACTCACTTATAATAATTTAAATATTGATCCATTTCCAACTAAATTTCATTCTAACACGGGTAACAAACATTAAACTATGTTAATCATCACAATTACACATATATCAGAGAAGTGAATTCAGCTCGTTGAAGTTGTGTTCATATGTCACTAGAACATAAAACTATATTAAGTGGGCTTAAACCTATACATTTATCCTAATAATCATTCTATCAATAATCCAAATAAAGATAGATGGGATTATAGTTAATTACATTGAAAAATTTATATTGCTCAATATATATATACTAATAAAAGGGACTATTTGAGGCTTCTGAGAGTGTCCACCTCAGCCTAAAAAAAATTCTTCCATAGCTTGCCACGTCAGCTAAGCTTCTATCGTATCTTTAGAAACAATCCACGTCATTCTCTAAGCTTATACGGTAATGAGGTCTTGCAAAAGGAAAAAAAAAACTCTTCCCCTCCTGTTGTATACGAAACGTTACCCTCAAAACCCATTGTCTCCCACATGGCCATGATCTCGGTTTCAATCTCCTCTCATCTCCTATGGCTTCCTGGTCTCTTATTTTAAACCACATCAGGTAACTTAATTATACATCCACTATCTCAACTTCAGTTATAACTTCTACATACGATTTCACTACCCAAATCTACAACGTCTTCTACGGTGGAAGCCTATAGGGAACATATGGCCTTTCTTCTTCTCCATCCTCTGGGTTTGTGAAATTCGT